CCTCATAGCGATGGCCTCCAACCTTATAGCAATGGCCTCCAACCTAATAGCGATGGCCTCCAACCTAGAGGGATGGCCTCCACTTTAGCAGGGGTCAATGGCAGAGCGTCAATGCCAGACTTCTCAGTACCAAACGGACCAAACGTTTTCGATGAGCTGGGACAACAATAGGGCCACGAAAGTTGGGTCGGTATTGTCCTCCATCCTGCTTAATCTCATTCAATTTCAGACTCTGCAATTCCTTGCCTGCAAGCTGATAAGCTGACATTCCATTACAGTTTGTTGGGTCAATTGAAGCTGGGGCAGGAGGAGGGACCAGACTCTCCAAACCCAGTGGTCAAGAGTGAACCTTTTGGCTTCGAGCAGGCAGCCCTTCAGCGCGAAAAGCAAAAGGTGGACAAGGACCTTTGGGTTGGAGGATTTCGTTCCCCACACCAGAGCACTTGCAACATTCTGCAAAGCATGATTTCATTGAGTGGGCAGTGCAGCAGAAGACGAGGTGGCTTTAAGAAGGCGTTAAATATGTGCAATGTGAGCAACGGCAGGTAGAGGAGGAGAAGGTGAACATGTTGGCTTCGCGCTTGACCAGCTTGCTGCTCGTCTGAGATGAGTGTTCCTTTGGTTCTTGGATTGTTGGAGGCTGTTTGGTGGAAGTGTGCCTGCAGCTGCCGCTACTTTTGAACAGGAGCACGGGACCAGAAGGGAGGCAGCAGCTGCTGCTTGCTGCGGCGAAGGAAATCCTTGAGCTCAAGGCCATTAGCGTTTTTCGGGTTTTCCACGCTTAGTTGGTCGGTTGGTCCATGGGTTTCTTTTGTTGAATGGCTCCGTGCAAACCTGGTTGACTTCCTGCAAAGGCGCATGTGGAGTGGGATCAGAAGCGCATGCAAAGCGACATGGAGGAGTGGCTGAATGTAATCACCTTTGTTCGCGAGTGGGATCTGGGGATCACCAATCCTGCTGCTTGATGCTTTTATCAAGGAGGAGCTGGAACTGAAGAACCATTTGAAGCAGGTAGAGGCATGATGATTCATCAGTACTGACAGTTCTTTTTTCTACGTCGCGTGATATCCCTCTTTTGGGTGGAGCTGTCAACACTAGCTGTCAAAATGCGTCCCTCCTTTCTGTCGACGTTATTTGAGGCCGAATTGCGCGCAAGGCAAAAAGCTCCTGTGCTCTTTCAGGCGTGGCTGGAGCAGGCAACCGAAGTGTCTAAGAGCGTATACTGCACAAAACAACGGGCCTCACTGCAGAATTCTGCATTTGTTCAAGCCTTTGCCTCCAGAGATGTGACCATGACATGGACTTTGGACTCAAAATGCTAGCATTCCAACATGTGAAACCCCGACCCCCTGCAGTTTTGCTTCCAGGACTGGCATGTAGAGCAGGGACTTGCCAAGAAGCAGGTGGCCACAAACGTCTGGAAGTATTAACATTGAGCACAAGAACACGCATTTTTCAGTACTTTCTTCTTTTCCGACCTTGTTTGCCACAGAATATGCGAAAAGCTTTATTTGAAGCTGTATTGAACACTGTATTGTCTTTGGATGGCCGAAAGAGCCCGCCTTGTTGTATATCACCCCTTGACCAGGCTAAGTAGGCCGCCAAGGTGCCCCCCAAAAGGCGCGGGACCCGTGAAGCTGTCTCCATTTGTTGCTTTCTGTCATTGCCAGAGCCCGTGATACCAGTTTGATGAATATGAAGCATATGAAGCAGCGAAGACTGCCTGCATGCGGCTTTGCAACCGGTGCTCAGGCAACAATAAGGATGGCGTTGGCGTTCGGACGTGGCCAGAAATGAGTGCGACATGAGTGGTGGGCAGTTTGTAAGCTGCTTGGAGTATCCACAAACACTTCGGCCTGATCACCTCAGTTCTGGAGAGCTGCGGACTTTATTCCTTGTGTGGCCACTTGCTTGAGCCATTTTGGATCAGGGGGCTGAACTGGCTAGCTTGGCTTGCAGAAAAAAAAACACACTTGGCTAGCGTGCATCATCAATCATTGCTTGCTTCCCTTTGAGGGTTGTGGAGCCCCAAGGCCGATCCAACCCTTTTCAATGTTCACCAAATACCTTGAACCAACATGAATCAAACTCTAGATGTTGTTGAGCTTCAAGCTTTCCCCCCAGAGATTTGTTAATTTGCAGCTTGGCTGCCGAAGTTCTGCTGCGACCTCAGCCAAGAGCGCAGCAGTGCCTCAGCGCAGCCCCGGTTTTTGCAGTTTGGTCGCCGAGGCCATGGAGCAGAGACATGTGTCACTCATGGACGACCCGAGCATGGATTTTTCGCTGCTGGGATTGTTTGCCGACTCGACGACTCAAAGGTTCTTTTGTTTAAACCTCTCTCTCTCACTCTCTCACTCTCACTCTCACTCTCACTCACTCTCTCTCTCTCTCTTTTTGGCGAACTCATCTCGTCATGTTTGTCCACCTTTTGCCGATGTTTTGTCCATTGGTATTTTGGTGCAGATTCGTAGATGTTGCGGTTTTCTTCGTCGCACCAAACGAAGCTTCGTTCGAGGTTCCGAAGTCTCCGCCGCCGCTTGCATCGCCTTCCTGGACCACCAGCGAAGCTGGAATTCCAGGACCGGCTGGAAGCAGCTCCGTCGGTTTGACTCAGTTGACCCCAGAGAAGACCTTTTTGGCATTTTTTGGCTGAGTGAGGCAAGCTTAGCTGCCATCATGATTAGCGCACATGTTAGACTCTTGCGTCAGCTTTGGCTCGAAGAAACAAGCACAAGTTGGAGACCACATCGACAGCAAAAACGAGGAAGATGGATAAAGAATAGACGGTAGGCCACATCAAGTTGATTTTCAGGAAAGAACGAAGAGGCCAAAGACTGCGTGTTGGAGGTAGACGGAGTTAGATAGGACTTCTGGGAGGAACTGAACAGAAAGGACAAAGGCACAACCTGCAATTCAGGAGTCTGGTGGAGCTTGGTCTCCCTACATTAGCCAGCAAACCAAGGACATTTTGTGGACGATGAGATTCGAGATGAAGAGGCGACTGATGTGACGTAGCAATGGCCCAGCTGCAAAAAGAGCTTCCCAAAGCTTTGTGGCTCTTGCACACCGATGTGATGGCTTGCGTTGCTCGGAGTTTCCATCATGGGGCATGCCCCAACAATGTAATCAATCATTATGGCAAGCGATGTATGTGTGCGTGCGCGCGCGCGCCAAACTGAGATCAGATCTAGATGGGCACTGGTGGCATTAATTTTCGCCAGTGTGGCCAGTTTGATTCTGCTGTTCAGGCAAGGGGGGCCGTTCTTTTCCCGACAAAGCATGTTGCGGTTGTGAAGTGTTACATTTGTCAACTACTGGTACTTGTTCAAGACAATGCTTCATTTGCAGGCAGCTTGCTTTCCCGGGTCTTGAACATGGGCACATCACTGCAGGCGGGTCTTTTGTGATCAAGGCATACAGTATATAAATCTTTGCCATCACAAGAATCCAGTGCTGGAGTTTCCTGACAAGAGAGCAGTGGCTGTTCTTAATGTATTCAAACCTAGTCGGTGGGATGATTTTTGCCTGTTTTGAGCCCACTGGGTTGAAGGAGTGCCAAAAGCTGGGATGAGCTACTTCTTTTCCGTTGGCGATTTTGGCGTCGCTGCATGTGAGCGAGGCTACAAGGCACGCATCTCCCGGATGGGGAGAATTCCATCGGGTGGAGTTGCCCAGGGTCTTATTTGATCTTTTTTGATTACCAGCTGCTGCCGCGGCTGGCCAGTTACATGATTTTAAGACTTTTAGCCGGACCCTGGGGTGTCGAATCTTTTTCCTCAACAGCGAAGCATAAGGGGCCTTCAGCCATAGTATAGACTTCGGAGCAGATCGGAAAGCTCCGAAGCAGGTTCCGCAGGAGCAGGTTCTTTTTTTTTCCTAAGCAACACCAAGAAATCTGAAACTCTAGAGCCTCCTGCCCTTAATCTCTCTGGCACAAGGTTTGCGCCAACTGGATTGCAAAAAGAGCTGTGCCGTGGTTCCCTGAGCTCAACACTGGAAGGAGGAGCAGGTTCCAGAGCAGATACAGTTCCGGAGCAGGTTCTGGAGCAGGTTCCGGAGGAGGTTCCGGTCAAGGTCCCGGAGCAGGTTCCGGAGCAGGTTGCGGAGCAGGTTTTGGAGGAGGTTCCAGAGCTAGTTCCAGAGCAGGTTCCGAAGGTGGTTCCGGAGCGGAGCAGGTTTTGGAGCAGCTGGGTTCTGGAGCAAGTTCCGGGGAAAGTTCCAGAGCAGGCTCCGGAGCAGGTTCCGGAGCAAGTTACGCAGCAGGCTTGTTCCGGAGGAGGTTCTGGAGGAGGTTCCGGAGCAAGTTCCCGAGGTTCCGGAGGTTCCGGAGACGGGCCAGCTTGCCACAAGTTCCGGAGCGCCTTGCAATATGACGGCGTATAGTGCTCACATGTCACGATGCAGTATTTTGTCGTGCTTGCTGACATGTTGACGTGCCGTCAGACTACCGTGCCGCTTTTGCTAACCTGCTATCATGCTATAACCTCTGACATGCTGAGGTGTTCACTCCGACAAGCTGACAGCGTGGTGCCATGTTGGTGTGTTGTGCACGTAGAGTGCTGTCACACAGACGTGTTTTGACACGTTGTCGTGCGCGCTTGTGGTTGTTGCGCTGATGTGCCGGCGTGGTGTTTCACTGGCACGTTGTCAGGCTGTCGTGCTGACATGTTGCATCATGCTGCCATACTGGCACGGGTCACGCTAACATGCTAACACGCTGTTGCGTTGAGATGCGAAAATTGGTTCATGCCCCCAGCGGTTGGGTTTTCTCTTGGGATTATTTTGAGTTCACAGGCTTGACTGCCCACAGGAAACAAATCACCGCGTGACCGCGGGGATGGGGTAGGTGTGAGGCAAGCACCCTCTTCCGTAACAACACGTTAGCCGGTGAATACGACGGTCGGGCCAGTGGGCCCCCAATATGTGAGCTAGGCAGCTAGTCGATGCTAGTCGTTGGCGTTGACCTTTCGCAAGTGGTGAGGCCACAGCCGCTCCGCTCACCGGCTTGGGGAATGTCACTGGGGGGGATTCTAGACAGACGTTGTGGGACTGTAGATGTGGAAGATCACTGGCCCAGTGTTTCCGGGTTGCTGGGCCGCAACAGGCTGGTGACCTTGAGAACTCCGGTGGCATTGGCCATCGAAATTGTGTGGCGTCAAATCAGCATTTTGGCGACAAAAACGACCCTCACCACTCCAGTTGAACCCAAAGGCCAGCTGCGGATGACGTGGAAGGACATACAGTAAAGATCTCAGTGGGGACAATGATGCACCAGTGACATCTTACGTCTTACAGCCGATTGCACAGCTCATGGATCTCTAGCTGCATCTCAGGAAACTTGTGGCAGATGCCATGGACAAGCTGGCTGCTTTACTGAAGCCAAAATTCATCCTCTCTTTAGGGGCTTGGGCCTCAAAAAGTCGCGCCACTGGAGAGAGGACAACTGTCTCTGAAAACATTGATTCAGTTGTTTTTCCTTCTCGCAAGTCATCCCAAAGCTTTGGACGCTCAATATGGTGAAGTTGCGTGGTTGCTCAGCAAAGGATAACTTCTACATACGCGGTGTGGCTTGGCCTCAATCTTGGTAGTAGGGCTTGCTGTAGAACAGCAACGATCTCCTTACCACACCTTCGAACCCAAGGTGAAGGACTTGGACGATTCCCAGCTCCAAGAATCCTTTGTTGCTCGGAAGCACACAGATGATGCTAGATCTTCACTTTTGTGTCCTTTGGTTCCTTGAGCCATGACCGCTTTTGGCTCCAGGTTGATGTTTATAGTCGCGGCCACTTGGAGGAGCTGCCATGGCAGGCGGGGGTAGCACATCAGCCGTAATTACATCCGCCGCTAATTTGCTTCCACACATGTTACGACTTGTGGGATAGCACAGAAAGGCTTCTGAGGCAAGAGCGGATGTCACAGCATGGGCAGAACATGCCCCATTACACCTGTTGAACAGCAGCACATATGGCATGGAGCAAATCCAATTCCAGAGAACGGAACGGACAGAATATTCCAGGATTTGCATCCTCATTCCATCCTTTTGCGGGCAGCCTTCCGTGTGAAGGTTTCTTTGGGTGATCACGACCATCGCGGCAACGTTTCTGCCTTGCTGCTCTGGCAACACAAGCAATGGAAGCTGCCTGCGCCGTGTCTTTGGCAGCCGTGGTTTGAAAGGGGCCGGGCCTGGGACGACCTGCATAAACCTTTCTGAATGTCTTGAGACTCTCCACATTTCGTTGTGCGCAAGGTATTATAGCTTCCGTTTCCCAGTGGGGAAGAAGCATATTGAATTTGTGATCGTAGACTCCGTTGGACTTGAAGGAGGAGTGCTTGACCAGGCCCCAAAGGGGCGGCGGTTCGAGCAGGCAGGGGCATCCTCCTTCTCACGGTTCTTAGAAAGACTGCGTTCTCTTCATGTTTTCACTGAATGACGCTGATGCTTGGCTTTTAGCCATTGAGACCTAATTCACCTCTTCCGTGCAGCCTCTAACTCTAGCACTCACACACACAATCACACACACACATTTGCATATATGATATTTGCTTTTAAGCATCTTGTCTAAAGCCGTACGTACCATCCATTCCCAGCCGTAGGAGAACCTCCCATAGCCAAGCCGTAGGCCATACGAGGCGACCCAACAGGACGAGTCTCCAACGAGTCTCCCTGAAAGGATCTGACGGATGAGTTCGCTGGCCCAGCAGCTGGCCAGCGGCAATGGCAATGGCTTTCGGAACGGACGGAGCCTTGGCCTGCTTGGAGAGTGAAAGAACAAACGGAACGAGCAGACAGGGGTCAAGGCGGTCAAGGCCCTTCCCAGGGCTTGGAAGGCCGATGTTGACATCTTTTTCGCGTGTATCAAGCTGGATGCAAAGGTTTGTCACAGGGTCTTTTTGTCCTAACACATAGTACTTCCTGCTTGCAAACCTTCTTCTTGAGATCAGCCGATGTTCCGCAAGGCAGCATATGGCGAGTCGTCCGATACCCTGCTACAGGCAGGATGTGGCTCGATCGGATGTGTGAGAGATTGCTCACGGCAGGGGTTCTAGCGTTGAATGTGGACTTTCTTGAATGTGGACTTTCTTGATTTCACAAGGGTGTCTGTTCAGTGTCTCCAGGGTCAAGCTGACTTAGACTGTTTTGCACTGGCACTGGATACTGGGGGTTTGCGGCAGTTGGGGTTTTGGCATGGCAACAGCGCTTGGGGACGTATGCCCACAACCACTGCGTTTTTGCCATCAGGTGGTGGCTGGGCATCGGCCCATCCGCAGCTTGGCCTACCGTCATGGTAGCCCACCTTCACCACCCGAGTTGGTCGTGGCCAAACGGCTTCTTGAGTCCTTGGCTTCAGGTGAGAAGCCCGTGTCTTGGAGAGGAAGCAGTGCGCAGTGCGGAAGCATCATTTCATATGCTTTTGCAATTTTCCAAAGGACGCTTCCCCTTTTCATTATATAAGAGGGAATGCCCAAACGCAAGGTCGTAACGCATAGGGCAAAAACCAGGGTCCCTTTCTTTGGCAGCCGTGAGGTTGCCTACCTCCATGGTCACGACCATGTGATGCAGCACTTTCGGGAAGTTGACAAGCCCTTGTACCATTTTGGAAATGGTGCTGGTGGGATGGGCATCCATCCGTTGCAGGAATGTGCCAACTGCACGGAGTTCAAGTGGGGCGCTTCGGCCTTTGGTTTCGCGGTACATGAAGTTGGAGATTCATCGATGGTCGTCCATTTCATGGATGCGAAAACTCTGCAGGTGTCTCATTCTGTGGAAATACCCTTCGGTAGGTAACAATACGAAGAAGCAAGGGTGCTCAGCAAACATATTTGCTGCTTGTCGACCCTGCTCATCTCATCCTGTAGCTTAGGTGGAGGGCAAGTTGCTCAGTGCTGATTCTCCACCCAGCACTGTGCAGCAGTAGGTAGGGTAGGACCACTGCAATGTTTCAGTGGTTTGACCACATTGACCACGCTTTAGTAGCGGCGAGCTAAAATGGAGACGCCCAGCTCACAGCCTGGATGCCAAGTCCAACGAAGGACATTTCATACAACTATTCAACAGCTCCCCTATTTTATTGCTCTGGTGGCTTCGTGTGATTTCTTGACTTTTGTTTGAGGAGCTGCGACTGGTCGACGATGTCGTCCTGGTTTACGGCGGGTGGGCGCCGAGCGCCAGCTCCACAGCGGCTGCGCCGCTGGAGACTTTTAAGCGGCAGCAGGTGGGGTTGGGAAGGTGGAAGGGAAGGACATTGTGCAAAAAGAGCCCTTGAGATGAAGAGATTATGAATATATAGATACCTCCACTTTGAGCCAGATACCCCCACTTTGTTTTTAGACTAAGTTTTGGTCAGTGAGTCTGCAGTTTTGCAAGCGAGGTTGAGTCCCTGCACGTGAAGGGCATGGACCATATCTCCAAGCGAATTCAGGATGCCACAGGGAATTTGCTCCTTCAACGCATTAGATGCGGATTGAACTTCTGAATCAACTCGTTTTGCAAGGTTAGTATGCTTGGAATCGGCGCTACCATCAGAGCCTTGCTGAAACTCTTTAAGTTCCTGCACGTTGGTACTGAACAGATAGTAACTTTATTCACACATGCAACCTCGAGGGAGAGAGAAAGAGAGCGAGAGAGAGAGAGAGAGAGAGCGAGAGAGAGAGAGAGAGAGAGGGAGAGGGAGAGGGAGAGGGTTTCTTGAAGACCCAACAAGTAGACTATTGCTGTCAGTCCAGACCACGTTAGTGTCCAGACCAAGTGGACAGGAACCTTGCCCAAGCATTGGCTATATTGCCGCAGAGTGGTTCTCGGCGCGAGTCTCCAAGCAGGGAGTTGAGGAGGTCTACCGGGGGAACTTGGACAGGCTTGACAGCAGAGCGCTGGTAAAATCAATCCTTGTTTCAACCAAAAATCTGACTTCCACACTGGACACATTTCTCTTTCCATTTTCATTCCATTTTCTGAACAGGCCCACACCAGGAAGTTTGGCAGAACTGATTGTTTTGCTCGCGCTGTTGGATTTTCTGACTGCAACACCGAGCACCGGATTTGGCAGCACAGCCAGCCGCATTGTCACGCTAAAGGCCGGATGCAGACATTGTGCTGCTCTGCTCCAGTGCTGAACCAGTTTGTTTCTGCTCCAAATAGTTTGCCTGCTGAGTCACTGAGTCAAAAAGAATAACCATTCGGTTCGCATGAGGTGCGTGAGGGTGGGGCCCAGTGCGTGGCTCACATGGAGCTGCAAGCCATTTTTGGTGCTCCTGACATCGATGCCGTTCGGCACACAGCGGTGATCCAGCTGTTTCAAGGTTGGGACACCGCGCACTGCACAGCTGTTTGTAGAGCTCCTGACGAAAGCACCGCACAAGTCCAGCAAGCCAATTTGTCAAAGTTGGTGTGGGATGAATGACTGATTTTTTGGTGGGGTAGGCCGCTAGTAGCTAGGTAGGTAGTAGCTAGAGGTAGCTAGTAGTAGCTAGGTAGCTACTACCTAGGACGCAGGATAGCTCACGCCGCACTACTGATTTGGTTCCTAGATTTTTAGGGAAACTTAACTTCCATGAATAAGTAAGATGCATGACTTGTGTCAGGCAAAGACACTCAAGATGCAAAGACATCGCTGCTTGAGACGCTTCGTAGCACGTGCCCACAGGCAGGGGCCATGGACGCTAGCTCTGTGTGACAAGGAGTGGCTTTAATCATGAGGATCATCCCATGACTTTTATGTAGAAGTGAGTTTATTTGGCTTTTGGCAGTTATAGGTAATTTGATACGTTGTCTGGTGCCAGTGCCGCGTGGGAACTGTCGAGTTCGAGAAGAAGCTGAATGAGGCTGTGCAGCTAATGAGTGCTGCCGCGACCTGCCTCAACAGCCAGGCACCGTGCTGCAACGGATTTCTGGAGTTTGGGCTAGTCGGCTAGGGCGAGCTGATCTGCGCTTGCCTTCCTATGATCCCAGATGCAGAACCTTCCAAAGACATTTCTTTCCTTACAATACACAGTAACAAAAAGCATAAAAAAACATCAGAAACCATCAAAAAGCAATACAGGTCAAACAGCTTGAAAGAAGATGAAGTCTTCAATTGATTTCTGAACGAGAAGCTGCGAGAAGCTTTCAAAGCGATTTCGACTCCTTGGACTCCTTCGGTCCTTCGACCTTCGGAGACCCCGATCTCCAGGCTTCAAAGGAGGACCTCGCCGAGGCGCTGTGGGAGGTGGACATCAGCTGGGATGATTGGCTCAGAATCTTTGCCGCTCCTTGACATCCAAAAACGTACTCCCAGTGCACCATAGTGCTATGGTGCACTGGGTTTGTACTCCCTGAAATCCGTTGTGGAAGGGGACTGTAGACGACTCCATATGACTCCATATGACTCCTTGAGTTGGACACTTGCCTGGGACAAGAGCCGTGCAAATCAGAGAGCCGCAAATGCTTGGAATCGATCCCACGTGACTCTTCGGGTCTTTGGATGTTGTGGTCCTGGTCCTTTGGTTGTGTAGTATGGAGGGAAGTGCAATCATATGCTATCAACATACTGAGGGCTGCGCGTGCTTTTCCTGCTTGGGTGTATATACATTTGGAGACTTAAGGATCCAGACGATGCTGGCTTTGCTGCGGTGGATCTACTCGGCCTGGAGTATCCTTGCTTGCATGTCAGTTCACAAGAGTGCTACTTTCAGCCAACGTCCTGCTAGTAAGAACGCTTCTCGAAATCTCTAGGTCGAAAAATCAGACTACAGTGACTATAGTACAACTATCTACAGTACCTCCGATTTCCAAGTCGCCCATGATCATCAATCGAGGTTGTACAGGAGCGCTGTGCAGGGCTTGCTGGAATGCTTGAATGAAGTGGCAGGCCACAGAAGTGACAGAAGTCCTGTTGTGGGGTTCGGTTGGTTAGCGACCGCTGAGACCGCTTCTCACCGTGCGCGAGGCTTCTACGCGGGAGAGACCATGGGACTAGACCCTGTCAAAGCCTCGCTGACTGTGCTACAAACCTGTGCAGCGCCTGCCAGCTGGGCTCAAGATCCCCTGCAACAGCTCGAAGCTCAAAATAGAAGACAAAGACGGAGAAGGAGAAGGAAAGGAGAACAAAGAGAAGGAGAAGGGGAAGGAGACTTGCTGCACCTTTCTTGTAGCAGTCAGGGTGTTTTAGTTTGGATTGTTGATTGAATGATTTTTGAGACTGCAAAGCGGACTAGAGATGAATGAATGGCTGTGGCTACTCTCTGAGGCCAGAGATCTTAGACACGTCCACGGCCATGAGTCATTCTGGATGCGTGGTTGCTTTGCGCTGCCATTTGCTTCAGCACGCCATAGAGACCCAGCAGAAATTTGTTGAGCACGAACCAGCCGCAAATCGCCTAAACACGACAAACTGACCTTGTTTCCTATCCTTGCTTCTGCAGTTGCACAAGCCAAGATCAGAGCAAGTTTCGCTAAGGATTCTCGTTTCAATCGTCTTTATGGAGGTCCTTTCAAGATACCGACCGGCTTGGAGCCCAGCATGAGGGGGTAGGAAGACAGCCACAGCCTGGCAGCCTCACCGCCCTTATTGGCAACCTATTGGTTGCTTTATATTTTTTGCCCTTAAAGGGAACCCACATACAATCAACCACCAGCGTTCACGGGTTGCCCGAGGCCCTGATCCTGATCCACGACTTGAGAAGCGCTGGCAGGAACTCTTCGAGAGTGTGGATGTGAATCGAAATGGCGAAGTATCGATCCTCAGAAAAGACGAAGATCAGACGTTGATCAGGTTTCTTTTTTCGGAAAAAAAACTGGAATAGAGGACCCACCTTCTATTTATGTGTGGGTGGGTACATAGAGAGTTGATCAGAGACCTTGGAGTCGAAAGGTTGATTTTCTGATTCTTGAGGAAGGACTGATGGAGATGAATGGGAGGCCATACATGACTGGAATTTTGGGAGGAGTTGGGTACTCTTACAGGGAACAAATGAGTAAATGAAATGTGCATATTATTTGCAAAGAAAACTGTAGCAGGGCATGGGAAAGGGAAGCATCAGAAAGGATAGGATGGACAGATTTTACAGAGGAAGCTTATTCTGGGACTGGCACTCCTGACTCAGAGATTTACAGTCTTGCAGCAGGAGACTTTAGAGAATTATTTCAGCACCGCTGCTTCCTGAGGATGGATGAATGGAAGGAGGCACTCGACAACGAAGACAACGAAGAACTTCGAGATCTCTTCGAATTTGACCAAAGACCCATGAGGATCTTGGCCAAAAAGCTGCCGCTGAGCTGCAGACATGACGCCAAACTGATAGGATAGCGTGGAAGTGCTTTCAAATTCACACAAACAAAGTATAAAAGGTGGTGAGCCTCTCCAACTCATGGGAAGGACTGTGATTACCTTTGGGTATGTCCTGAAAGAGGGTGTGCCTTCGCACAATGCAACCCTAAGGTTTGGGTCCGTACATGTGCATGCAGACAGCTGGGTAGATATGGAAGAATTCCGGAAGGCTTGCAGGACACCAATCAGCGCACATAGGTTTGGCCGGGTAGTTTGACTTGCAAAGCGACAGCTCTTTTGGCAGAGGCACTTCTGACAGCGCTATACTGTAATATAGATGTTGAAGAATTCTGAGAGGATGGCATATAGATCCGAGCTCAAATGGCACTTCATCTACATGATGGCTGGACGCGAGGCCGAAAAAGCTGATGACAGGCATGGCACACATGTTCCTTCTGTGCAAGGTGTCACAGACAACTATATATATATAACTAAACAAATACACAATCAATCAATCCAACAATCCAACCAACCAACCAGCAACCAAACACACACAGACCTTGGTTTTCAGGCCGGAAGAAGAACCATTTTCCAAGCTGATCAGCTGGAACCGTGACCCGGCACAGTATGGACATGTTTGTTTGACATCGCTGCATCACCTGTTTTCACGTCTCTCGAGCCATGAGAATTGATAAACCATGAGATTCTGCGGGCGAAGGGACAAGGAAACTAGTAGTAAGGCACTTGTTTCTAATAGCTTCTTGTTACTACTAGTAAGGCACTTGTTACTAGTAGCGAGGCACTTGTTCCTAAGGGACGAGGAAGGGACGAGAGATGTGCTTGCTGTGGCTTGGGCCTCCGAGGATCCTGCATCGAACATGGCCTTCTGCAGGCTGTGGTTGACACAGATGTGATGCTGTGTGATGCTTCTTGGAGAATTCCACTAAATGTTTGATTTGACATGCTTTGGCCTTTCCGGGAGTTATATAATTGTTTGCCTGGTGAATCGGTAACATCCTTGTCTTGCTGGTAAGAGAAGACGTGACATTTTGAGCAATCCACTTCACGTTGCCTGTTGGGTACAGGAAGATGCAGTCTTCAAGAAATACAAGGCACACACACGCCCCTTGCCTGCGCTGCCTTACATATCCTGGGTCGTTTCATTGGGCCAAAATGGGATCCTCTGGTGCATGATTTCTCCTGCCACAATTTGTAGGCTCAAACCTGACCATTTCAAGCTCCAAGCTGAGGTGTATGGAAAAAGCTAGCCGTAGGCAAGTGTCAGGCCAGCTGGTTTTGTTGGGAATTCTCACCAATATTGTCTTTGCACCAAGATCGTCCAGCTCTTGGGACCGTCCTGCTTGTCTCCAGGTTCAGTATGTTCAGAACGCTTTTCGGAGCAGCTTCCGACTTCTGCGGATTCTGCCACAACATGTGACATGTGCAGGCCTGGGATCGACACTGCAACTCCATTATAGGACTATCAGAGGCCAGGACGATCTGTGCAGAGGCCAGTCTGACATGACTTTCTTGCAAAGATGCAGATGCAGGCTGCACATGAACTCCACAGCCCTGGGAGAGACGCCACCCAAGAGGCCTCAAATACAAGCAAATCCGCCAGAGCTAAGCAGGGTCAGAGCTAAGCAGCAACCCATGAGGTCCTGAGCAGACACTTCGACAGCCAGATTTTCATCAAGATTGCCTTCAACACAAGCAAAAGCTGCTTGAAAAAAACTCAGTGCGTCGATGGGTTAACTTCAGACCAATAGCAGGTGACAAATATTCCTGATTTCGATGTGGATGTTCTCTTATAGGTTTTTTATAGTTTTTTTTTCTCTTTCAACAGTCAACAGCTTGGTGAGTAAGGCTTTGAAGATGTGGCCCTTTTCGGTCAGCTCACACTCCTTCAATGTCACATCCTAGACGCTTGTCAAACCCTATTGGCACATTGGAATGAATGCTTATGTATATACAAATTTCAAGTTATTTTAACTCCGACTCACTAACATGGAAGGGGAGAGCCCCTCTGTTCGTAAAGGAAAGTAGTTTTCCAAGCGGCCATTTTCCACTTCCATGTTAGTGAGTCAGGGTGTAATCCTTTCTTGATCAGATGTTTGAGTCTGCAATGAGGAGAAGATTTGGGAAGCTCTTTTCCCCAAGTACTCGCCAGAGGCTGGGATCAAGGTGAGAGCGGGTAGGCCAATCCGGGTGCAGGGCAATGTGACAACTCGTGCAGGCCAGCGGCATGGAGGAGACTGGGTCTTAGCATGGTGCAAGGCACTGTTAGGCTAGAAGTAGAGGAGGACATAGGGAAGAAGGACGTGACAGGCTCTTGGCAAGACATCACCGTTGGCAGCACTCCTGCTCACCAAATTGCATGTCTACTGAGGTGCAGCGGCTTGCACCTGGGCATCCACTACATTCTGCCTCGAGAAGACTCAGGGGCTTATTTCTCGCTGGAGGCACCCCGAAGCACAGCAGTGCTTTGCCCAATCTTTCGCTGAATGTGGAATACAGAACGCTGTTGCTGGCGCAGGGGTGGCACAAATGGACAAGATGGCAAGAAGCTGATGAAAATTGGCCCGTAACTCGTCTGCATTTTGACATGCAAGGGCTTAAGGCCCTGACATTAAACAGACAAGGCAAATATTTCAAACATAACGCAGCTCGCTGTGTTAGCAGCAAAGGGTTTGCATTCCACAATCTTAATTTGGCCACCGCTTGTTGGGGCAGGAGGGCAAAGGCTGTTTAGATCGGCTTGCTCTGTTGCATGTTTGTTGTTTTGAACAACTGAGAAGAACTTTGTCCTAGTAGGTCCTTTCACAACGGTAACTGTCACATCTCCAAGTAGTCCTTTGACCTTTAGAGAAGTCCAAGAATCAGTGAGTAGAAGTCCAAGAACAACTGAGTAGAAGTCCAAGAAAAACTTTTGTGCCATGCATCAGCAGTCACGTCGCTTACCGTGGTTCAGGCCTCCCAGGCCACCCAAAGCGTCAGCTCCAGCCGAATCGCGCCCTCGGATGCGACGATGTTGCAGGGCCGGGTGACCCGGTTTGGGACGTTACGACAGATGTTCGTCTCATCCCTTTCGCCATGAAATGCGGAATCATGTCGAACTCAGCCACGGTTGTTTGGCATGGCATTTCAGTCACTCCTTGTCCTTTCGACCGCACATCTGAAGGTGCCAACGTCCTCACCGAACTTAGTGACGTGGGTTCTTGCCACAGCATGTTGGGCGAAACATGCAGACAGCTGCATACCACAGTGATCAAGGTGACAGATTTCAGGTCTGAATCATCTCACACCACACACAGATGATTTTTGGACATTATACACTCTTCGTTCAGCAACTTTTCAGCTTTTATTGGTGTGCTCCATTTGGCTTGCCTAGGTGCAAGACCACAGGACTGACCATTTAATTGCAATGATCTGTCAGACTCAGAAAATAGATGAAACTAGTAATGGCGATTTTTGGTTGTCACAGAGTCCATGCAAACTCCTTGACACAAAACCGCAGAGTTTTTAGACTCGATCCGCATTCGATCACTCCTTAGCTCCTGCGTGTTGTGACTGGGGGGTTTCTCTGAAATCATGGCGAACTTCTTCATTGAAAAACAGTTGGAAGCCGTGGCGAGAGAGCAGGGAACAACCGTTCGAAGCTTGAGGAGCAAGATCAGCGATGTGGCTTCAGGCCTCCAAATGGCAACCGCTTGCAGTGGAACCGACTCCCCTATGGTGCTGGCCAAATGTCTGGGCCTGGAGAGCAGCTTTAGCTGCGAATTTGATGAGCGCAAACAAGAATGGATCATGGAAAACTTTCCTGAGATTCAACGGCTCTTCTCTGACATCAAGACGTTGAAATGCCAGCAGGTCTTGAATCTTGTCACTGGAGCCATGGAAAGGGTGCCACGAGCAGACATCTTCATTACTGGCTTTGTTTGCAAGTCTGTCTCCACGGAGAACAACGACAGAAAAGTCTACAAGAATTGCATCAAGGAAGGAACAGGAGAAACAGGAGAAACCTTCAGCGGCATGATGGACTACGTGAAGAAGCATTCCCCATCCGTGGTAATTGCTGAAAATGTCAAGGGAATCACAGCAAAGAACGATGGCCAGCCACCGGTCATTCTTCATGTTGCCGATGCAATGAAGAGGGCAGGGTACCACTTTGGGTACAAGATCCTGAACACCAGTGACTTTCTTATTCCGCAAAGCCGAAACAGGTGCTGGATGATCGGCCTACGCCGTGACAAATACAGCCAGTGTGATGTGGAGGATGTCTTTGATATGATCGAGCAGATGAAAAGCCCTGCCATGGAGCTGAAGAAGTACTTCCAGCACTTCTGTGTTGGTCGAGCAGGGATGCCCGTGAATAAGGCCCCAAATGCGCGTCAGAAGAGGGTGATCAAGATCGCCCTGAAGAAGGTGCCCAAGCGAAGCAATCGCGACCAAGTGATTGTGGATGTGGCAAAGAGCGAGCAACGGGCACCAGTGCAGCTCAATCGTACGCCTTGTTTGGTGGCCAACAGCGCCATGTTTTGGCACAATGAAGAGCGCTTCTTGAGTGCTGAAGAGGTGTTGGCCCTGCAGGGTATCTTCACCAAAGATTTCAAGGCTGCCAAGAGCACTTTCCTTACGCAGCAGCGCAGACTATGCCATGATCTCACTGGAAATGCCTTTAGCATGAGCGTCTGCAGCGCGGTCCTGACGGCCGTGCTGCTCAAAATCGCTGAGGCATAGATGTGGGCGGGCTGCATCCTGGCGAAAGTCAAGGAGCACTTCGCCAATCTGGGAACTGTGTGTGTCCGCAAGGGAGTGACACAAGCAGTTGTCAATGCACGTAGAGCATAAACGTGCGTTTCATCCTGGTCAGCAGCTGGTCAGTGTTGTTTTTTAACGGATCATTGACCCAGCTTGGCCGCATCGAGGAAAAGTGAGTCTTTTTGCATCGCTGCGCCGCGTTCTTCTTTGCAGTTTCTTGTGGCTTGATTTGTTTGCTCTTGTTGCGTGTCTTCACCAGTGCTTGGGATTCTTCCATTTCACCCGTTCGTCACAGGACCTTCTTCGCTGCGCTGCTTCAGAAGTTCCTTCGCTGAGAGGAGGCGCCAGGGGGTGCCAAATCAATCGCGTGTCCGACATTTGCCTTCCTCGTGTTGAGGTAACTGTGATGAGACCCATCAAGCTGCGGACGAGGGGGGGTGCTGATGGATCTGCTGGTGTTCAGCCAAGCGTGCTGGAAACTCAACACGTCGAACGTGAGGCACACAGAAATGACAGGATTCAAACATCCCAACCATTCTTTCTCTTTACTTCTCCCTGGTATCTCCTCCAAGAGGGCATCAGGGATTAACGCCCTGGCAGAAGACAGGGTTTCTCCTCCCAACGGTTGGGGTTTTCAGCATTCGTTTTTATTTTCCAAACTGAGGAGTCGTGCAGGGGATCCCTTGGTGGGGTTTTTAGTTGAGTGGTGACCTCAGAAGTGTTTTGCGTCAGACGTGTGGCACCAACATGTCGTAAGAACAATGAACAACAAACAATTTGAACGAGATCCATTCTCCAAGGTCAAGCAGGAATCTGGTAGACTTGCGACCAGGCCCCTTTTCAGGCGCAGATGAGTTTGCACATTGGATTTCCTGAACATCCAAGAGATGCACGATTGCACGAGGCTTAGATGGCTTTGAGACCATCCCAGCTCCACAGAAACGGCCCGACTCTTTGGGGAGTGGCCCATGCATGCTTGGACTTGGTGTTATATAATAAAAATATGTGCTACCAGCAATGATTTCATTGATATAATCTATACTTGTAAATCATGGCTTCAACATGCTTCACCTGTCTTCGTTTTTGCAATCTCGTGTCTTTGGTCCGAAGAGCACGGAGTTTGTCGCCAGGTGTAGCGATCGCTTCTCCAACGTCCACATCGTCGGAGGTTGTTCACCAGCCCCTCACACCTCAGGTGGGGCATTACATTGGTTAGATGGGTTTTCAATTTGGGTGCGAATTCAAACGAAAGGAAGACAGAGAGAAGACAAAAAGAAGGGTAACAAAAAGAAGACAGAAACACACTGAAACACATACAGTAACAAACAGAGCCAAGAATACACATACAAAAGGCACGAAAGAACATTATTTGATACGCCTCAAGCGCCAAGGTGAGGCCATCTCGGGGAAGCTCATCAGAAATTAGCGCATCTCTCCCGCGTGTCGGTGCCACAGTTCTGTGCCTTGAAAGGGGAAGGTGAAAGAAGAAGCGCCACACTTGCTAGGGATGGAATCACGTCTTCCATCAGAGTTTCCTCAAATTCTATTCACTTGACCTGTGCTTTAGCTCTCATGTCCATCGAAAAACGTCTTAGGTTGGTGCTGGTCCATTACCACCACTACCAGAAGCAGAGAATCAGGTGCGCCAACGGCATCATGTCCAAGATGCCAAAGCTTGTGAGTTGGCAGGATCCATCGGGACCTGCTGCTCCGAGAACCGCGCTTCCAGACTGTCCTGGGTTGCCCGAGGACTATGAGCGCCACCGACACTTCTGTTTTTGGTCAGAAGGCCACGATGAGCCCCGATCCAAATGCAGTATTTTCCATTTTTGCTCGGGAATCTCACGGCTTTTCCACGCACTCCACACACTTTTCTGCAGGAGGATCCGCAGGAGGATCCACAGGATTACCCTGCGGACCCTGAGCTGGGCTCAGACAGCGACGAGCAGACGGAAGAATCAGCGTCTGGCACTGAAGAGTCAGGCAGAACTAGGGGAGCTGCTTTGCAGAGTGGTTAGCTTTGAAGATTTCTAGAGGTCTCTAGACAGATGCTGCTTTGCAGAATCCGTTGGCCGGGCAGTGGGCCATCCATCCCGTCATGCTTTGTACAGGTGAATCTGAAGATGCAAGTGAGAATTCCGAGATGCATGCGGAATCCGAAAAACTTGCAGTGGAGCTGCATGCGGAATTCAGGTGGGAGCTGCATGGATGTTCGGAGTGTTTGGTCTTTGGGGAGCCTAGATTTAGCCTCTCCGGTTTACTGTGCCTGCTTGGGACCTGCTATGTAGAATGTCCGGGAAACGCCAAGTTCTTTTCCAAAGGACAGAGATCAGAGCTGTGAGAAAGGTACTGGAAGTGTATCAAAGCACCAACCGACCATCATGGACCTAGACTGACCGCGTGAGCCTGCTTGGTCCTCTTTGTCCCGCAAAGGCGACGCCCAAGAGTCAACAGCCACCGCCGGTCAACCATCACTGAGGACCTGCATCACTCTGGGACCAAACACGTATACGCCTCATTCGCATTCATTCGCCTCATATTTTTGAATCAACTTTTGAGGATTGTAGGGGCACTGTAAGGGCTGTGTGTCAACTGGTAGTTTGTTGACATTGGCACATGAGTAGCTCGTTTGGTCAGAGCTTTGCGGATCTCTGGACCTGACGAAGATCACTTTGCTTGGCGGGACTGCCATCAGTTGCAGGACAACAGCGGGACACGCTTTATGCAAATGCTGGAAGATGCTCTCTGGGACACCTGCAAATTTCGCTCCACGACAGCAAACAGGGAGCGAACGTGGGCATAGTGTGGCACAATTTATACTCGGCATTTTCGATGCATTTCCCAGGTCCACCGCAGATCAAGTGCAAAACTTTGGAGTTTGTGGAGAATGCACCGAAGGTGCTTGGAGGTCAGATGCCCCGACTTGGATGTGTGTTGACGATGCGGATTCTCATTGTTGTCCAGTCCACACTTTCCTCTTCACTCACTAGTCACTAGGTTGGAATGTCACGCTATGGATCTATTCTCTGAAGCCGTCCATGAACAGCGACTTAGTGGTCAAGAACGCCACTTGACTGGGCACTGGGCATGACCGCCACCTTTTGGAAAGCATGACCGCCACCTTTGCTGCGTGGATGGTCGTTTGCGTTGTGTTTTGTGTTGTCTTCCAACAGTCAGGTGAATCAGCTGGTCGAGAAGTATGAAGAATGGGCTGGGGAGGACAGAACAGGAGATTTTTTTCAGAAGTACGCCTGGGTGTCTTGGATGCACGGTCGGTTTGTGAAGTATGCAATACCAACCCAATGCGCTTTCTAGTGCAGCTAGCTTCGCAGAAATCCGCTTTTTGCAAGGTGTGGTGTAAGTTCAAGGCAGGCAAGGACCAGCCGTACAAGGAATGCAAGCCGTCGGGTGTGTCCCAATCTTAGAAGCTTCTTGCTCCTAGTAGCGATGCCCTTTGTTCCTAGTAGCGATGCCCTTGGTACTAGTAGCTTCCTTGTTCCTAGTAGTAATGCCAGGAGCTACTAGTAGCGTCCTTGTTACTTGGCTGAGCGTGGGTGGTTTGGCTCACGCCCATCGCTTCGCTTTCCAAGGAACGCACCCAAAAATGACAGCTCGCAGAGACATGGAGCTTTGCGTGAAGACATAGTAACTTGGAGAGAAGAAAAATAGATTACATGTTTGCAAAAAATGGAAGTAAATTTGTTTCTTTTTTTTGTAGTGCCTTGGAGAGATTTACCTGAACAGTCTTCACAGTGTGGGGTTCAAGGCCTGGTTGTCCAAACTAAGGCTGAGGAGACTGTTGTTCAAGACACTCGGATCGCTCCAGCACCCTTGCAGGCTGGATGGTTGCCCAGTAACAAGAAGATACTAACAACAAGGGCATCGCTACTAGTAACAAGTGCATCTTGTTTATTGAAGAGCGACGAACCAATTGCAGTTGTGCTGCAGCTTTGGGCATTTTTCCGCTCAGGAAGCAGTGCAAGCAGTCCAAGCAGTGCAACATGTGGCCTCAACTTCCAGTCGGTGGCAGGCTTTCGGTTTAAGTTTAGTCATGATTCGGCCACGAAGCAGTTTAATTCATGGCAACACTGTGACATTAAGATTGTCCAAATATCTAGAAACCAAATCATAAAAGCGGCCGGGGGAGCTTACTTGAAGAAGCGCTCGCACTATTTGTTTGGTTCCTAGATTTTTGGGAAACTTAACTAAGTTGGTGCAAGGCATGCAGCAGGTGGAGATTGAAGCCTCACTACAGTACCACTCCAAGGACTGAGTGCGACTGGGCTCACAGTACACGGGGCAGCCTGCTGCGCGCCGGACCCCAACTAACAGAAAACCTCAGAGCACTGGCGTCCAAGCAGCTTTTAGGCGTGCCTTAATCAATGAGCTTCAGAGGACTTGTATAACTACTTCTTGTTATACACACACACACATAATTACAGAGTTTCTTTCTTCACTTTAAACTTAGACCTGGCTTGCTTTCTTCCTTCCTTACTACCCCAAGCAAAGAATGAGTTCTTTTTACAACAACATGCAGATAGACACTGCGCCTAGAAATCAATGGGGGCAGGCACACACGTAGGACATTTGCTGGCATTTTCACTTTCTTCAAACGATCAAGGCGATGTTTACCCAGGACATTTGTGTATATAGTCATGTGCTTAGTTTTGTTTTTGCAGGTGAAAGGTGTCCGGTGCTCTTCGGGTTTTCAAGAACTGAAACCTCTTTTTGTGGTTAATCGGAAATCCGTTTATGTAGATATACACATACGGTAGATGTCTTGTAGGACAAGACAGGACGCAACCATTGCCTTGGTCATATCCACATCTGGCGGATATAGAGCTTGGATTGATTGGCAGCGCGCTCCGCAGTATCGTGAAAGTTTGCCAAATCAGAGGTCGACCTTCGGGTTTCTGCAGTTGTGGCCACACTTTGTGTCCTAGGAGCGATCGGACGCTTACTAGTAACAAGGACCCTTA